AGGAAGAAAATATAAATTCAAACCCCCGAAAAGCATACTTGGTGAGAGAACTTTGACTTTAAACGCTCTCAATCTGATTGGGATTAATCTCAAATTTAAAACAACTTTAAAATATTTTGAATTATAATAGGAAAAAGAGAATAGAACGGTGGACAAATGAGACCCACCAAAACCTTTAATCTCTTTCTCTTATACATTGCAATGCACCTGAAAAGAATCATCTGCTACAACATTTTGCTCATTTAGATAAACATACATTTAGGCTTTTGTAAGCGGTTGTACAAACATATTAGAGTGTGGGCATAATGAGTCGAAGTGGTCCATTAATTCAAATTGCCTTGAGATTTGCTTTTTGAACATGCGTGTACTATATATCCAAACTCCCATAACAAGGTATAATATTTATATTATGTACTTGGTACGCATTTTATGTAATTTTTAATTGAAATTATTATTTTAATTTCAATTATTTTAAAATGTAAAAGAAATTAATCTATTGAAATCAAATGCGAACAATCCCTCCTTACCAAAAAAATACGAACAATTCATAATTTTATTTTTTGATCTGAAACGAACAATTCATAATTCATTGTCTATAAACACTGAAAATTGCACATGCATGTTGCTGGGTTATATTCGAGTGCGGTATGTGTTGATGATGTTGACATAAGACTTTGTTTCATTTTGACTCCCGTATTTTTGTTTCCCTAGGTTATTTTATCTAATTTATAATTAAATTAATATATAATTTAATTTTATATAAATATATTTTAGAGGGATTATATCATACTACTTCCGGTCCTAATTATAAGAGTTAGTTGACTAATTTAAAAAGATTAAGAAAATAAGTTAAGTTAGTTATTTGTAATAAATAGGTGTTGTCTTTCCTAAAATATCCTACTAATCAAGTGTGTTGGCTAAAACTACAATTATTATAAGGATTATTTTAGAAAAAATTGAATAAATATAAGAAACAAAATGGATTGGGGTCTTATATTTAGGATCAAAATAAAAATCAGACGAGGTCTTATATTAAAGAGCGAAGGTAGTATTTGTTATGATTGACTAACTTAATTATTTAACTTTCTTACCCAACTTAGATTAATTAAGTACTCCTCAGATCATGAATGTAAGACCCTGTGTGGATCTTACATTTAATACCAGAGGGAGTAACAGTTATATTTAGGATAAGAAAAAATTTTCTTTGTTTTTTTTTATAAGAGACAATTACCTAAATTATATTGTTCAAAATGTTAGTTAAAATTAGCCCAGAAAAATAAGTGTGTAAAAAATGCAACTTTTTGGCTAAAAAAAAAGCTCATTTATGTGAAAGAGAGATAATGTGTGGGAATTAAATACAATGATAAAAGTAATATGAGTAATTAAATAGGAGTAAAATGAAAAATCAACAACTAAAATTTGAGACAACCTCTAAGCCTATTTTATAAAACATGATATACTTCACAATTGTTTGTTATGTAATAAGAAACGGAAGCAGTAACTTATTAATAATCAAAAAGTTGGCAAGGCTTGGTTCAGTGGGTAGATTAGTTATAGTTAGTGAGTGAGCTTTAAAGTATAATACGGTAACATAAAATAATTATATCATTTTTGCTTATAAATGGCAAAAAATTTAAATCAAAACGTAATAAACTAAATCGATCAGTTTTGCTATTGAAAACCAAACTCACCCTAATCGATCTTGTTTGATTCAGATTGGCGTTCGGTATAATTGATTTAATTCGGTTTTGAACAATTTACTGTTATGGTAGTAAAGGTAATCTATGATAAAAACAAGCAACTAAAAATAAATAAATAAGTAAGTAAACGAAAGCAACTTATTCAGAAGAACTCGACTCCATCTCCATCTAATAATGTAGGATCACTATCCTCTTCCTTGTCATTATTGAATTATGGACTGAGAAACTGTCAGATGATAAAGATATACTCTCTGTGAACTTGTCTTTTTTTCATTTTTTATTAAAGATATAAGGTTATAAGTAGTAATAAAATTATGAAAAAAAATTTCATGTCACTAGCTTACAGGATTATTAATAAATTTTTTACACTCTTCCTCCGTGGATTCATAATTAAAAGCACTAGGCTTATTACATATTTCTCACCAACTTCTTTTAATATGCTCTCGGTGGATTCACAATTAAAGGCACTAGTATAATTTATATTATAAAATAAATCTTATATTAAGGATCTAATGAGTAATTTTATTTGACGTAACACGAATTCTTACCTTTTTGCTCATTTGTCTTAAAATTATGTTGTCATTTGCTTTCCGGGTGTAGTAATTTTTTTTAAGAATATAGTAATCAATACTAATTTAAAATTTTGAAATTTAACAGTTATTTTTTTTAGGGATTTTCCTTTTAATATACTCTTAGTAGATTCATAATTAAAGACACTTATATAATTTATATTATAAAATAAGTTTTATATTAAGAATAGAATAAGTAATTTCATTCTATGCAACACGTATTCTTACGTTTTTTTTTTTTTTTGCTCACTTGCCTTAAAATTATGTTGGTTGTTTAATTTTGTGCCGAGACATGCTCGGGCCTGCATGAACCCCACAGTTGGAATTGACACATAATTAATGGCCAATTCTTCTCCTGCTTGAATGAAAGTGCAAGCCATCTTGTCTTCTTTTTTCCGTTCCAAGATTTCTTTCTCTTTGTTGAACGCAGAATCAAGCCTTGGAATTCGCTCCTTCTTTCGATCTGTGAACCCTCTGGTGGGAGTAAATTAGGACGATAATTTTAAGCTGTTTTTTTTTTTCAATGTATTTTTATTGGCAAAAACAAAAGAGAGATCTTTCACGTCTTTTAAAGCGAAACGAGCTGATGATGACCATCCTTTCAACGACATATATAACAAATTTACTGTGTTTATTATAAAATCTATTTAATTAATTTGATTAGATTAAAAAAATTAAGTAAGTTAATTAATTATAAGAAATATAATTTATTTATTTTTAAATATCATAATCATTTTTTTTAATATTCTCTCTCCGTCTTCTACTTGATTATAGTTGACAAAATATTCATAGGGTAATTTTAAAAAATTGATAAATATGAAAAATAAGTTTTATATTTAGAACTAAAATCAACTCAATAATTAAGTCTCATATTAAGACTAAGAAGAGTAGATGATCTCAGACTACTAGTTAATCGGAATTGGCAAATCAAGTTTTAATAGAGAACTTAATTCCTGAGCTCCTTAGTTGATCATTTAGTGAAATTTTCTTATAAGCCTGATGTTAACTTTTATATTTTTGATCTCCCTCTACTTTCTACGCAAGAGGCGGATGGTGATGAAAGATGGTAGAATTTAACGTGTTTGATTTGTATTTTTGACTTGTTTTTTGCCTTTATCAGCTCTTCATTCGAAAAGAAAAAAACGAAACGAGCATTCCTAGTCCTAATTAATTGTCATTTCAACTTTTTCTTCGATAAGACTGAGGAAGGGACTCGTGTATATATAGTTACTTTATTTTCTTCCGTCCTGATATATGATTCAAGAAACACAAAGTGACTCTGGTCAAAAAAAAAGAAACACAAAGTGACAAATGAAAGATACTGGTAAAGTAAAGTGTAAAAAAAAAAAAAAAAAGAGGGTATTAATTAGCGGCGCTTCTTGGTTGGGTGAGAAGAAAGCCGTGGCCTAATAATCTTATATACTCCGTGATTCAAAGAAACTTTAATGATTTGATTTTCGACCGAAACAATTCATTAACACTTTTATCCTATCAACGCTATTTCTGCCTCCCTTCTCCGATACATGTCACTTTGTGAAGGGGTTCGATGTTTTGAAAAAATTGTAGACCTAATAGTCTGGGACACCTTCATTATAGAAAATAAGTAAATTTAGCAACCTTCCTTGACATACATGTACGTAGTCATGACTTATATTTAAAATAAAAAAAATTAATATTACCCCTTCTGTGCTTAAAATTATAAGAGCTATATAATTAATATGCAGGAATTAAGAAAAAAACCGTTTAGTTATTTATAATAAATATATATATATTTCTAAAATAATCTTTTTAATCATTTGCATTAACAACACTCATTCATGAAAATCCCTTGATATGTACAATAAATAGGATAGTTTGGGGGAAAGTCATAAATTTAAAAAATAAAGTGAAGAGTTAATATAATCTTTACTCCTTTAAATTTATCTTCATTTTAGTTTTGATCTTTCAAATTTCAAACCGTAAATTTTGGTCCCTTAAGAAGCAAAATAGTCCAGATTTTCACATTTAATTTTTAAACTAAATATGAAACTATTATTTTTTTTTAAAAAGGACAATACTTACATCAAGCTCATTATATCTATTATGTCAAATTCTCCTACCACACATGATTATTTGCCCTATTTTTCAAATATTAATATTTAATATGATTTAATTATAGATTCACATGAAATAAAAAGGGACAAATGGCTATAATTATTAAAAAAACTTAACATAACGGATATAAAATTCAAGTGTTTTTCTTTTTAAGAAAATTATTTTAGTTTCATTCGAGCTTCCCCATGATTCCATGGAACTACAGTAAACACCAACATGATTCACAAGACTTCAGATGATTAATGTGTCCTTAAATAAATTTCTTGTTAATCATTTTAAGTAAAACGGCTTCCGACACACACACACATATTCATTAAAAGAGCTAGTTAGACAATGTCAATCAAGCAAATATTTAAGGCAGGCTTGGATTAACATTTGCAATGCATGCACCACATCCATAGACTTTATAAACATATTTGTCTTGGCTTGGGCAATCAATTTATCTTAAACTCCCACCTTTTGCTGCCATCATCTTCAAATGTTTGCGCATTGTCTCGGTCAAGAGTCATATTTTCTTTAAATTCCCCCTCGTACACGTTAAAATATTTATTCCAAAACGACCTCCAAAATGATCATCACACATCCAACGCTCTACAAGAATTACAACAAACAACATTGCCAGAGTAATAAATAAGTATAATAGCCAAAGACCCTTAAATTTATACCAGCCCTTGGAGGCTTGCGTATTAATTTGTGTTGATCCCTATCAAACAAATAGTAAATAATAACTGAATTCATTTTGAATTCCGTGCAAACATTGCATAAAATCCAACCCTGTTGTAGTGTTTAGCGTATCGGGCAGATGAAAGACATGTTGTGCTGCCACATCATGCATGCTTCAATAGACAAAATTCAAAATGAGATCAAGCTGCTTGAATAAACTTGAACTTCGACTTGGCCTGCTTAAGATGAAAACTTGGAACTCAGTAGATAGGCCAGGCTCAGCACCCAGAATGCAGGCTCATACAACCTGTTATGAAGCATATAAAATAAATCACTCTTTTCTCGGGTTGTTCATTAGTATCTCCTCTCGCATGTCGAATCATCTCACGATCGTCATTTCACACGAAAGCAAGGAGTGATTATTACATATGGAGCTTTGTCAAAGTTTATCCATAACTCAGCCGGTTGTTTGCAAGAAAACAAACAAATTTACATGGTCAGCAACAGAATCTTAACTGTATTACAATAGAAATATACGTCTTATATTTCTGTCGAGGTCAGCAGTTTTTGTTTTTGAGGGTCATTAAGCAAAGCATCCCCTGGCTGCTATATGGACTCCAGCAGAGTCAGTAAAACACCATATCATCTGGTATCTTGTCCCCTCTTCAGCCTTCATTCCTGTGAAGACAGGAACGGATAAAATGTAGGCAATGCAAGCAAAAAAGGAATCCTAAGAAGAGTACTCACCAGTCTGTTGCTAATCGGTTTCACTCTTTCCCGGTTAGCAACCAAGTCTAATTTCAAAACAGAAGAAGCTACCTATTGAAAGGGCAAAGAGATATCGGAGCTACCGTTCGTTCCGCTGTTGACCTACAGTACCAATTTAAATCCCTCGGACAGGAAGGCATCCCTATAAAATACAAGCCACGATTAAGCAAAAGCAAGTCAGTATTACAGATGGATGAGAAAGTTGAAAGATCAAACTGGCCCCACTAATATAAACTGGAAGCAGATTTCTATTTAGATGGGGGATTATAATACATTGACTCCAAGTCAACGCAAGTCATCCAAAGACCAAGACAAAATGCAAGATCTGACAGCCCCACTTTTTTTTTCTTTTTCTATTCTGTGTAGGATTCAGTGTACACTGCACAGCATGACTTGCTCGAGTCTAGGTCAAGGTCAATTCGCAATTACTCACGCTAAATACATGTACATATAAGTTTATGAGTGGAGTCAATAGTTAGGGGTCAATAACAAAGAGTTATACACCAGGTGGATTTTAAATTACAAAAATTTCACTAGATACCTTTCTTTCTTTGCCTCCAACTCTTGCTGCTGTTTATCAATTCTACTTTCTAGAGCTGGTGGGACAAGGCTTCCGAGACAAATTGTTCCGTCAATTAACGGGGGCATTCTAGGGATTTGAATAGAACTGATTCCATTATTTTTCAAGTCAAACCAGCAGAGCCTCTTATGGTCCAGTTCCAAGAAAACCTTGTTTCCATCTCTCGAGTAGGCTAAGGGCCTCACAAATTTTAGAGATCCTAACTCATGTGATTCATTCAATGTGAACAAGTTACACCAGGTCTCTTTGTGTCCATATTCTTTCATAACCCAAATATCCACTCGCGTGTTTTGGTAATTTGCAAGCATGCATAGGGATCGCCCCAGCAGAGCCACTTCCATCTGAAAATTCTGATTTCCCAGGTCAGGCAGAGGCACCTCCCTAAAATTTTCGTATTTCAGATCAAACGCAATGATCAGATCGGGCGCATCGGGCTCAAGCTTCCGAGTGACGACCCAGTGTAAAGCCCCGCCAACAAAAACACCCATCGTGCGTGCACAACATAGGGCGTAAGGCATATGCTGAATGGTTTTCCAACTATTGGTTCTCAGGCTATAAAGCTTGACTTGAGAATCGAAAGTACGACTGTGTAAGTCAATATAATACGAAATCCTGAGCAATTTATAATCATCGGAGAAGGAATCATACCCAAACCCATAAACTCTGGCAGCGAATAAGCTAGTATCGGATTCAGGTCGTCGCTCCACAGGCAGCAAAGCAAGAATTTTATGTTTACGAATAGAAGGGTTCCATAAAGCTATATCCTCAGCGACGTTGCAGATGCAGAGCAATCCATTGCAAGAACCTAAGACCTTAAGGCGATTACCATAGCACATGAGAGGATGGACGACCTCGACGGCTGCATCGAGAGTATCGAAATCAACTATCTGAAGATCAGAATTCTGCCTGAAAATGACGAGATTGTTGCGGTTGGTTTCGAGTGATTTGTGGAGATGGAAGGAGATGAAGTGGGAGCCGTCAATCAGGGAACGCCACGACTTGCAGGTACAGCGGAAGCGGAGGACGGACTTGACGGGCAAACGAGAGAGAATATCGATGATGACTTCCAGCGGAAGATCCGCCATGGATGGGTTGAGGAGGAGGAACGCGGCTGCGCCAGTGCATCTAAGGGAGGCTACACTTTCGAGGACATTCGAAATTTAGGGTTTCCAAGCTTTCAGCCTGAGCAGAGGAGGCAAAGGGAAGTGGACGAAATGAATTGTGAGTAAAGTCAGTGAATTTTTTATTGGAAGATAAAGCGCGAAGTGGAGTGGTTGCGACGCTACCGCGTTTGGTACATGTGTGGTTCACAGTTACGGCTCTGTAAGGGTGTGTTTGGTTGGAGGGGAGGGGAGGGGAGGGGAAATGAGCCCCTCCCCTCATTTGGTTAAAAATTTTGGAGGGGAGAGGGGAAATGTCCCCTCCCCTCCCCTCCCTTCTCCCATTTTGGCTCCCCTCCAAATTGGGAGTTTTTGGAGGGGAGCCAAAATTTTGGACCATTATGCCCTTATGACTTTTTTAATATTCTACTTCTACCCATAAAATATATTATTATAATATTTATTTCAAATAAAAAAATATATTATCCTAAGTAAAAAAAAAAAAAAATATATACATTATTATAATTAAAAATATTATAAAAATTATTTAAAAATAAAAAATATTTAAATAAAAAATTATAATATTATAAAATTAATTGTTTTTTATAAATATATTATTTATTAAATATATTTTAAAGCTGGAAAAAAAGATAGCCTAAAGAAATAAAATTTCATTTTTCTTATAGCATATAAAATTTGTTAATTTAATTATTTTAAATATATTATTATATTAATTAGAATAAAAAATTACTATACCAATTTTTTAATACACATATTAACATGATAAGACTGAATTTTATTAAATTATATAATTTAAATTAAGATGTAAATTAATTTATATAATATATCAATAAAAAACATAAACTAATATGTAAGGGTAAAATGGTAAATTGATTATTACTATCCCTCCCTTCCCTCCTTGAACCAAACAATGGATCATTAAATGCCCTCCCCTCCCCTCCTTTTTAATCAAATCAAACAAGGGGAGGATGAAACCTCCCCTACCCCTCCCTCCCTTCCCCTCCCCTCAAACCAAACAGGCCCTAAAGCGCGTGCGCCGCGAGCCGTAGGACTCGGATTCGGCCGGCTTTTTTCTACCGTGCTGAAGAAACAAAACACAAATGCGAAAAAAAATATATGAAATTTTTTATTTTAACAACTGTTATTAAGCATGGTATAAAAGGCGCTACGAGAGATCTAAACCTTGGACTGGAAAGTTGGTCATTGTGTAAGTAATTAAAAGTGATTAAAGTCAACTAATGTCTTTAATCTTGATTTTATAAAAATTATTAAAACATTACAAAAGTGCTATGCGTAAAAGACTTCAATCTTGCCATTAGTTCTAGTAAAAGCCATTTTTGCCACTTAAAGATGAGGCAAGAATATAAGTTTGAGTGAACGTCCAAAAAACACATATGAGAAAATTATTTTCAATTGAGTTTGATAATGCTTGAACTCAACAAACAAATAATCTAATAAAAAAAAGCTTTAATTTTAATCCCAAAATAACATATACATGTTCAATAAAAAGATATAATTATGATAATCAAAGACATGTTTACAAAGATTCGCAAGTCCTATGAAAATTCATGTATTAAAGATTATTACAAAAGCTTTAAAAAAATGTCTTATCAATAATGATAGGGTTGTTAAGATGTAAGACCGTTGCTGACTTCATGATTTAGATGTAATTTAAACAATCTAGATTTTGTTATTTTTGGAACTTTATGGTTAAATACTGAACATCGTATTTCTTGGAAATCAAGAAAACTTGGATTAATGATTCAAATTATATTTAATTGAAATAAGGCTGTGATCTTGTGACCGAGGAAAATGACAGGCTTGGCAGCAACACCATGTGAGTGGCGGTGCACCGACATGGCAATATGGCGGCAAAGAATATCTCGAAGACCTCCAAATTGCCGCTACCAAAATATGTTTATTTTCTCAAGCAGAGCGCTGCTTCGTGTCAAAATAACAATGAGACAATAAAAAATTGCTTCCGCCTTTAATTAAAAAAAAAAAAAAAGTACCTATGCGTAAGGAAACACGAAACAAGGACACAATATGAAATAAAGATGAGAATAAATCAACACATCATCAAAGAGGCTGGGGCTCAGAAAAGGCGCGGTTGGATACCGGATGGTTTGTATCAAAAAATAAATCAACACATCATATAAAAAAATTAAAATAAAAAAGAAATAATGCATAACGTTCCTTCATAGGATGGTCGTCAGGATGATAGGAGCATCATCTCTGGGCGCAAGATCCATGTGAATTGTGAATTCTGTTCTGTGACAAGGAAAGATCCACGTGAAGTTTATTTTTCTCAAAAACAAAAGGCTTATAAGTTCAAAATCCCTGTCTAGCTCCACCAGGCCGAAAGCCATTACATTATATAAGAAATTAGCTTTCTCGCTGATGACTTTGTAACCTATGAACTCTTTTATAAGGGTTCCCAAGTTGATCCCTAAGTATTGAGATTAAGATTAAGATTGAGAAAAATCATCAAAAGAATACGTGGTTTGAAGAATTTGTTGTTACGTGGGATTCAACAAATTTTTTTTTTTTTGGATTACTCCATCCGGTATCCCAGGGAAATAGACGTCTTTCAACCGTGACAACATCCCCAAACTAATCCGGATTCGGGGGCTTGCAATGATCCATACGGACGGCGCCCCCTGACCCCTTGGAGTGCTGCGTTCCCACGTCTCGAACCCGAGATCCGTGGTTAAGCTAGGACGACCCCAGCCAGTCGACCTAACCCCGCGGGGTTGGATTCAGCAAATATTCATAGAAGTGGGATTGGAGAATACCATATCTCCCCGTGCTATTTTTTAATCCCATCTACATCGGTTTGTTCAATCCTATGTAATAAGCTATTTTTCATATTAAAAACGTTTTTTTATATATTTTTTTAATGACAATCGTAGTTGTTACTTTCCATTTTTAGCGTTCGTATCGAATGGTACTCCTCCGGTCCTAATTATAAGACCCAATTGACTTATTTGAGGAGATTAAGGAAGTAAGTTAAGTTGGTTATTTATAATAAATAAGTGTTGTCATTCCTAAAAATCCTTGCTAATTAAGTATATTGACTAAAACTATCATTATTAAAAGGATCATCTTGGAAAAAAATGCATAAATATAAGAGACAAAATGGATTGGGTCTTATAATTAGGACCAAATAAAAAATCAAATTGGGTCTTACAATAAGGACCGGAGGAGTATTTAGAAGTGTTTGTTCCTTGGATTAAAAAACAAAAAATAAAAGAACTAGCATTGCCCAAGTTGATCGATGACGGAAAACATTGCCTCTTAACAACGGAACATGCTGGCCTAGGTGGTCTAAATCTTGCCCGCCAATCAAGGCATAACTTCTGGGAATGTTCAAAAGGCTCTCTTTCACAAATATTCCTAAACCCAAAAGTTTTTATTTTATTCATTTATTTATTCGTCTTTGGGCTTACTTTCTACGTGATCTCCGCATATTCCTCCCGCGCGTAAAATGCGAATAAATATGAACGGAACCCACCATGAGAATAAATGCGAACGGAACCCACAATCAGCCCATGAGCCTTGCCCGTCCCCACACTCATTCTGGGCCTTCTTCGTCTCCCTCATTGACCAATTTTGGGCCTCTAAAAGGCCCAATTCTTCATGCCCATATTGGACTGAACTAACGTCGTCCCCCAAAAAACACAATAGCCAGCCAGGGGTACAGAAAAACTTATTTAATAAAGAGAGAATTGCAATCACAGTCCCACAGAAAAAATACATAATTATTAAAAACTCTCAATAATAATCTAAACAATCTGTAATGACAGGTTTCAGAATAACAAATGACAACTTCTGGCTTGTTATTGGAACTTGTTGCCTTGTTGGTAGTTATTTTTCTTACTTGAAATCTCATTGTTTTTCTTCCTTTGATAAAGATAAGTTGTACCAACTTTAAAACAGAACATTTAACAGGAATTGGGTCTGGCAAAAAGACTAGTTACTCACAACATAACGAACTAATATTCGAATCTCCCCTAGAAAATGTGCCCATATTTAGTGCCCAATAAACCTCAAATAAAATTATCTTCAATAGGAGGATATCTACACATAATAAAAAAAACAAAAAACAAAAAATCAAAACAGAAAACACGACATTTAGATGATGTCTACTAATAAAAAGATACTCCTCCGATCTTTAAAAGACCCATTTAATTATTTGATTATATTATTGAAGTTAGGTAAGTTAGTTAATTATAAGAAATGTGACACGTTTTTCCTAAAACACCATAATCATATTTCTTAAGACCCCCTCTCCCTCTTCTACTTGATTATGGTTGAGGGAGTATCTATAAGGGTAATTTAGAGAAAAATGATAAATATGAAAAATGGATCTTATATTTAAAACCAAAATCAACTCAAGAATTAGGTCATATATTAAGAACCGAAGGAGTAATTTGATATAAGAACTGACTTGGACGCCACTTTTTTTGGAAAAGAAAATATTGAAAACTAAAAGAGGAGAGGAAGACATATATATTTTTAATTGACATATATTAAGCGTTAATTATTTATTATGATGATTGCCGCCGAAAAACACATTATCATGATTAACTTATTTGCATTTGTGACAGCATCAGCACTGATAGGGAAGGATCATTGAAACACTTGAATTAGGCTGCTAGACAATGTTTAGAAAGTTGCTTATGTGATTTCAGTTAACATTAAGGAACAAGTGTCGCCTATTACCAATATTTCAGGACCACCCTCTTAATAAAGAAAAATATACACGAGTGGGCTGCATTTAAGAAATTAAATTCATGTGATAGTGTTTCGTAACGGTGGAATGGTAGATATGTAGTGCTGCTGGGTAATCACGTGCAGTCCTGCACCCATTCAATCTTATCCCAAGTCCCCGAAGCAGGGACCCTTTCCAAGCCCATTCAATTTTGATTTTCCATTATATTTTTTTAATTTTTGATGCGTAAAATATGAAATACTACTTTCAATCCTAAAATATAAGAACTACTCCTTAAATCATAATCAAATAAGAGAAAAAAAGGATATTAAGAAAAAAATTATGATATTTCAGAAAAAACATG